TATTGTACATTAAACTATCCTCACATCACTGAGTTAAATAAATCCCATGTAATCATGGTATGTAATTCTTATAACGTACTGTTGAATTCAGCTTTGATAATGCTTTCTTGAGGATATTTTCATCTATTTTCATTAGGTATCCTGGTCTGTCATTTTTTCTTTAGTATCAGGGTGAAGGCTTCTGGCTTCTTGGTTTCCTGAAGAGCCTGGGCAGCAGAGGAAGGTTTTGAAGAACTTGCTGGTGGGGCCATATGCCTGGGCATTTTTTTAAAGAAATTTTTTAATTACTCTTGAAACTTCTGTGTTAGTAATTAGTGTATTCAGATGCTTTGCTTCCTCCTGCTTCCATCTGGGGAGGTATAATAGGATCCCAAATTTTATTTCTTCTAGTTTTTCCAGTTTCATGGATTTAAGTTTTTCATAGTGATCTCAGATATTCCTTTCTATTTCTGTGATATCATTTGTAACTGCTCTCTTTCCCTATCTGGTTTATTAAAGTGTTCTCTTTTTTTTATTTTTAGGTCACATCTGGCAATGTACAGGGGTCACTCCTGGCTCTGTACTTAGGAGCCAGTTTACCCCTGGCAGTTCTCAGGAGACCAAACGGGATGCTGGGAATCAAACCAGGGTTGGCCATGTGCAAGGCAAATGCCTTACCCACTGTGCCATCACTCTAGCCCCAAGTCTTCTCTATTTTTTATTGCAAGTTGAGCTAAGGGTTTTCCAAACTTGTTTATGTTTTCAAAAAGCCAGTTACTTTGATCATTTGTAATTTCAGACTGGAGGTCTCTACTTCACTAATTTCCACTCTACAACTCACTATTTCCTCCTTCTGCTGATCTTCTAGTAAACAGTTATCCATCTGTGCTTTTTCTGCTTTCCTATTGAACTCTCTCACTGCTATAAACTTTACTCTTAGAACAGCTTTTGCTGTGTCCTATATTTTTGATATCCTGTAGCTTAATTCTCATTTATTTTCAGTAGTCCTGAGTTCTTCTTTGGTTTCCTCTTTGTTCCACTAGTAGGTAACTTGTTTAGTAATGGTGAGTAGTGTTCAGTGGTCATTGTTCAGTAGTGCTCAATGGTGAGCTGTTCACTTTCCCCCACTTTCTAGTGGTGATTAATTTTCACTTTCGGAACATCATAATCTAAGAATATGGCAGATACATTTTCTATCCTTTTTATTTGCTGGGGACTTGTTTCTGTGACCTATTGGAGAGGAATTTATGCTCAACTTTCCTGAGGTAGAGTTCTATGCATCTAATGAGGCTCATCTCTACTATTAAGGCCAATGTTTTCTTAATGACATTTTAACCAAGTTTACCCCCATGGTGTGTTGTGTATGTGTGTGTTTGCCTTTGTGTATTCATAAGGACTATGGTGGGGGTGAGGAGAACAGGACCCGGACAACAGAAATAAGAAATTCTGAACCGGAACCAAAAGTTCTAGCTGCATTCTTTGATTCAAAGCGCTAAGTGCCCTGTGTGCCAGACCTCCCATCCTGTAAACGTGAAATCTGAGTGGTAGGCTTATGGGATTCCCACTGCTCTGGGACCAGTGCTCCTAGAGACGGTGCACGAACTAGCTGATGCTCTAGCTCACCGACCTGCATCACTGTGGGAAACCTCTCCCCTACTGTGGCCTCCGCACACCCACTACCTTCCTCTACTCCATCCCAGCTTTCTGTCTGAAGGACGCTTCCTTCTCCTCCCTGAGAGCAAGGCTCCTGTCTCCACTCTCAAACCTGGCACTGTGACTGCACGTGTGGAGTAACCATTAACTATTGGGGGAATAAATAAGTAATTGATGAAATAGAGTACTAATGTAAGACCACTGACCATGTGGGAGGAAATGAAACTCTATTTTAGTTACTTTCACTGACACTGGCAGAAGAAAATGTAGTCTCATAGATTTTAGAACATACATTCAGAGTTTGAAGGACACTGGCAGCAGGTTTATATTCATGTTTCTCAAAGTTTCCTGCCCAGCTCATTTTGGTACTGTTCCTGCAACATAAATAAGGCCTTGGTTCCCTGTACATTATTCCAGAGTAAGCTGATATGGAAGCCACCACTGGCTCTCCCATTCAAGCCAGGGGGCAGAGGACCTATCATATATAGCCTTTCAGGGGCTTGCTAACACAAAGCCTGCTGCTGTGTTGAAACAGCAATTAAACTAGTCCTCTCATCAATTCAGCTGTTAGGAGAGTTCGCTGTTAGTTTATAGATTATCCTTGTCAACCACGAGTTGCTAACTATTCTTCAAGTTGGCCTTTAGATTTTACAAGATACAACTTAGAACATGTTTCTTTGGGTAAAGAACTGGCAAGTGCTGTCAATGATGCAATTAATCTAATGATATCACAGGACTTTTCGATGTCATCCAGGGTTATCTGCATTACTGCTTGTGCCCTCAATGCTGCATCTTCTCCTAACATGCTGTGCATGCATATTCAAAAATGAGAGGCCACTCTGTGCAAGAAAGACAGAATGGAAAGGAGCAAAGACCGAAAGAGCCAACAACAGGCCTGCCTGGGAGCTGAGCGATCTTCAACAGTAGTTCCTCTTCCAGACCTACAAACAAAACAGTGTCCTGGAGCTCTTGCATTGTTTTAAGTCAAGACATTGACAATCTAGTACTGTGGCTCAATGACCTCAGTAAGTGGCATTCTGGGCTGAAAATAAAAGAAAGACAGCAGTAATTACTGGTACACCATTCTCTAATCTAAGTCCTTTAGGTGCTACAAGCAGTCAAGATGGTGAGCAGCAAGCAGGAAGAAAGAAAAGCTAAGAAAAAGATGGATAAACAAATACTCACAAACAATTCTGTGAGAATGCCTGTGTGCGAATAGCATCAGGTGCCCTAGTCTATGTCTTTGACATGATGAGTCCCTGTCAAGTCACAGGATAATGAATGACTTCAGGAAGTTGTGAGATAGTTCATGACACTCTATGGTTTCAGGAATTTGCATTAACGTGGAATAGACAGTGATGTTTCTGACAGAGGCCCACTTTCTCAGAGACAGATCAGGATGACCACAGAGGCAGCACAGCCTGGTTTGCAAACCATCCAGGGGCTGTAGTACTTGACCGAGCCCCTGAGTATTTAATCTTCAGAATAAGACTGGTTTAATACATAGAGCAGGTGTTTTGTGTGGAGTTTACAAATGTGGAGACTGAACATCGGAGAACTGAAGTACAAGCAAGGTCAGCACTGGTGATTGGTGGCAAAGTTAGTCTGACTCTCAGGCTCAATGTGTGAACACAATGACTGATCCTGGAATAGTTCAAGCCCCTCCACATACTCTTTGCTGTTGTGTGAGCAGTTCTTACTTTGTTTCATATTTCCACACTTCATTCACTGAATTGTTTGAAAAAGATTTAAATAGAACAAGGAAACAGCAGAACATGACATCAATTCAATTTAGGGATTTATAGCATTTAAAAACAAACTTGCTGGCTGAGAATCACTGCTGGCTATGCAGTAAGAAAAGAATTAAACTATGAATAAGAACATTATAGATAAACAAACAAAAAAGTGACTTTCACCATCTCTCACACTTGAAAAATTACTACTAACACTTTTTCCCTTCGAGATTCTTGGGGTGTCAAGGAAAAGATAGAAAGAGATACATATATACATTGAGACCAATCAGTTAATACCCAAAGTTAGAGTCCACTCACAGTAACACACCGGTTAACAAGTTCTCACTTACTCAAAGCAAGGCTAGTGAAAATAGACTTTAATATGCACTTTATAATGCAATGAATGAATCATCATGGTTTAGAAAAACTACAGCTCAAAACAACTGCTAAAAAATGAATTATTTTCAGTTATTGGGAAAAAACAGGGGAAATGAAGGTTAATGTTTATAACCTGGCTGCTTAGTTAATTATAATATTATGTAACTTGCCAGCTGGAGCAATAGCAAGAGGTTTGCCTTGCATGCAGCCGACCCAGGTTCAGTTCTTCCACCCCTCTCAGAGAGCCTGGCAAGCTACCGAGAGTATCCTGCACACATAGCAGAGCCTGGCAAGTTACCCATGACATATTAGATATGCCAAAAACAGTTACAAGTCTCACAATGGAAATGTTACTGGTGCCCACTTGAGCAAACCGATGAACAAAGGGAGGACAGTGCCAATGCCATTATGTAACTCAGTATCGAAAATAAGCACTTGTTAACTAGCATAGTTCATACAATCAGTGATGAGTTGACAAGTGCAGTGGTAGTGCTCCAGGTGTAAGCAGGATGGCTCTCTCTGTACCCTTTTTATTGACAGAGACATGAGTTTGATAATGATGACATGAGACATCCTGTACTGAGTGCATTTAGTTTATATTTGTATCTTTTCAAACAGCTAGCAACAACTTCACCAAGAAGTTGTCAAAATGCTTTCACTACAAGCAAAGAAGGAAGGTCAAAATGGACCTTTAAAATATTTTTTTAAAAAATGGACTTAAAATTTCTTAACACAAAAAAACACAAGATCTTGTTAGATCTTCTCGCAAAGTTGTGTCTTCAGATGCCAGCCACGTTTATGTTACATTAAACAAAACATCCCTGTTTCAAAAGTCCCTTTGCCCCTAACATCATTCTCCTCCAAGCAGTAACAGATAGAACTGACACATGAGTGGGCTTCGATTTTTGCTCCTGTTCTTATATGAGGCATGGATCTAGGTGGCAAGTTCATTTTTCCTCTAGAGAAGTATAATTAGTAAGAGGAAACTGGATAAAAAGATTCTGTCGTCTGCCTAAGGCAAAATCTTTTTTATCACTGTCTCTTAGAAGTGTATTTCATTACAACTGAGTGACTTTCTGTATAGTGCTAGTGACTAAAATTTGAGACATGAATCTGAACCCGTAGTTGGCTCCAGAATGTACCGAAGTGACCCACGAGCTGTCCGCACCTCCTTCGCAGTCAGCCAATTCTGCACGGGCTCTGCCATGGAACTCCAACAGGTCATTGGGAAAGCGCCACACACCACAGAATACATACCTGATTGCACTTGCAGACAAGTGACCGTAGGAGCCACTTGCTGAAGAGCTGCTACGGGAATTATTAAGAATCGTGACCAAGGAGTTGGGAGACGTCCGTATCATGGTCTGCAGGTCAAAGCTATGGTCGGACAGTGGTGATATGGATAGTGTGCGCTTTCGGCTCGGCCTGGCTGCCAGCCGGGGGCTGGGCAATCTGGTGCCTGTTATGTGACAAAACAGAACCCGGTTACCTGGGATCGTGTTCAGTATCCCTCACTCACTCTGCCAGAAAGGCAGAGACAGTGGCTTCTGTGATGAGTCCCGCTCCTCCCCCTCGGAGCTACTGGCTACAGTTGAGGAAATTAGGGAGAAATATTTATCTTCCAGGGGCTTACCTCGGGGGAGCTCTGTTTATTAACGTGGAGGCAAATGATAAATTGCTAAACAAAAGGGAGAGACTTTTATGTGCTATCCCTTTCATTTCTAGTGATTTATGAATCTGACGGTTGCTTAGATATTCCCATCATTAATTTACCATAAGGAAGAGACAGCATACACCCCTCCCTCTCCACCAAGGCAAGGAACCCAAGGAAAAGAGGAATTAAAGTATTCTAAGACAAAATAACTCGACTTCATTTTGCCCTTATTTTCTGTACTTATCTGATCTACGGAATACTTAACGCTTCTCTGAAACAATTGATAAAAACATTTTCCTAAATTAATAGTTCTCAGCTGGGGAGCGGGAGGCCTATTTTCCCCCAGGGAACAGGTGGAGACATCTGGAAACTTTTCCCTTTATCTTGATTCCAGTGGGTCAAGGCCAGGAATGCTGAACACCCAGCGGAGAGCAGGGCAGCCGTCCACAGGGAAAGAGCATAGTCCCAGAGGCCAAGGAAGCAGCCGGGATGCAGAGACTGACCCCAGTGTATGAGATCTCTGTCAATCCCCAACACCCCAATACCACAACGTAATAAAACAAGAGTGTGGGGTTCATTTACAGAGTTTAAAGTTAGTGGTAATGAGGGCTGGGAGCCCCACATACTCAAAGGCAATTCACTGAGTTTGTTTTCATCTTCTGGATTTCTCTATTCAGGACTAACAGGAAAGAAGGCATTCACCAGAACTGCTTCAAAACTCCAGCAGCAAATTCTAAACAGGAGGTCAGAAACTTACCCTCGCCAATTTAATATAATCCTTCTTTGTTTTAGGAGAGTTAAAATCTAAGTTTCCATTTGCCATCAATTAATAGATTCTAGATTTGCATTTCGGGAGATAGTGATGAATACAGCCCACTGACCACTCCTGCTTTTTCTTTTTCTTTTCCTTTTTTGGTGTCTGGGCTACACCCAGTGCTGCTCCCAGGCTGCCTGGCTCTGTGTTCAGGGATCACTTCTGGGAGCTGCAGATAGAAGCTGTAGTGCCTGTTCTTGTCCCACTCCTGCTCTTCCTTGATCACATTTCCACTTCTCAATTTTCACACCAGAGTTTCTGAGAGATGAGAACCCCGACTGGTGAGCAGTGACCCCAAACTGCCTATACCACAGTGGGGATGGAGAGTCCTGTGTGTTTCTGTCTAAAGTGCAGCGGGGGGTGTTTGGGGCAAACAGATAACTGAAGCAGAAAGTAGGTCTCTTTTATAGAAAAGAAAACTGAGTACTTGTTCTCTAGAAAGTTCAGTGGGACTATTTTCTTTATCAGACAGACAGACCTGACATAATGTAATACTCCAACATGTTATGCTGAGATAATTTAATAAACAGGATATAGAACTTAAGAGACCATAGAGATTATTCTAGAAATACATATAACTTACCATTAATAAAAAATAAAAGCTGTGACTTAGACTAAGGTAAAGGTAAAGGCCCTCCCGTTGATCGTCGATTTTGCTCGAGCGGGCCCAGTAACGTCTCCATTGGAGACTTTGTTGTTACTGTGTCTGGCATATCGAATACTCTCGGTAGCTTGCCGGGCTCTCCGAGAGGGGCGGAGGAATCGAACTCAGGTCGGCCATGTTGGCCGCTTGTAAGGCGAACGCCCTACCCGCTGTGCTATCGCTCCAGCCCGACTTAGACTATCATGTATAAAATTGGAAAATGAAGCCAGAGAGATATAGTAGAACAGGGAAGGGCAGTGCCTCCCGGAGCATCCCACACGGTCCTCTGAGCATGGCTGGAAATGATCCCTAAGCACAGAGTCAGTAGTAAGCCCTGAGCATGGCCAGGTATGGCACTAGAAAACAAACAAAAAAAAAACTGCTCTCCTGTTGATCGTCGATTTGCTCGAGCGGGCCCAGTAACGTCTCCATTGGAGACTTTGTTGTTACTGTGTTTGGCATATGGAATACTCTCGGTAGCTTGCCGGGCTCTCTGAGAGGGGCAGAGGAATCGAACTCAGGTCGGCCATGTTGGCCGCTTGTAAGGCAAATGCCCTACCCGCTGTGCTATCGCTCCAGCCCAGAAAAGAAAACAAAATAAAACTGAAAAATCTATTTGAGTGAGGAATGTAATACCTACTCAGATTTTTCTTTTAGGCACATTTGAAATCAGCTTCTTTGTTGATTTTGTTGAAAAGCTGCATTACCGGGCAGATTTGGGATGTTAGCACAAAAATCGCATCCCTAACCTATGTTTATGTCTTTCAGTACTCAATTTGGCGTCTTACCTTTATTGTGGCACCTAATACATAAATGTCCATGTCTTCCACTATGAGAGACTGGTTCGATTACAGCTGCTTCTCTATGAAGAAATGATTTCCAAACAATTCTGTGGAGCACCCAGACTATTGTTTCCTGTTGTCTGGCCCTCCTCAATAACCCCTTTCCATAGAGACTCAGTGCTTGCCGGCACAGTGAGAAGTTAGAGGAATGTCTCCACAGAGCTGGCCCTAAAGCATCTCCCCAGTTTTCCGAGGCCATTAATGAGACCGAGGACCGTCAGCTGCTATGCAGCACTGGGGGCCCAGGAGCCTGGGGCAGCTAGGAACTAGCCTGTGTCTATCACCTGTATGAGGCCTTGAGTTTGGTCATCAATACCAAACAATAAAAATCTCATAGAGAGAGACAGAGCTGGGAAGCTGGTACACTTCACCTGTTTGCTCCTCAGGCTGGGAGCCGTCATCAACATGATCAGTACCGTTTCCAGTGCCACCTTTCATGATAATGTTCCAACAGGCATTACTCACTCTGTGTCCCTTAAGGTTGCGTCTGTTCTTAAAGGAGGAAGATTGCCATAAGATAGACCTGTTTATTCTCACGGCAACATAAACTCATCCCATGGCAGCTGGAAACAAGATGCCACTGCATGGCACACGGGAAGCCAGGTGCTCACCTGGACCCACTGTTCATAATTTAAAAGCAGCTTCAAAATGAATCTGAGCCAGGTGAGCAGGGCAAGCCCCAAGTCCGTCTGCCTCAGCCCTGCACCTGGTCTGTTCCTCAGGAGATGCTGAGTCACTTTCTTCTCCATTGTAAGATCTAGGACCTAAATTCTTGGCACTTTTCTTATGTTCTGTTTAATTCATTCATTGTTACTTCAATTATTTAAGTTTTTCCAAACCCTTTTTTTATGTTTTTGCCAACCTCCAAAAATCAAAAAGCATGTCAGTCCTTCAGGTCTGAGACTCAGTTATCTCTGCTGAAACATGGACCACTGTACAGCCTTACTCTGGGCACCTGAGAGGGTCCATGTGCGGTGCAGAGCGGCCCACCCAGGGCCAGCCCCTGAGCCCCACACTCTGTCTCTGGCCCAAATCCTACAGGATGTGTTCTGAGAGCGTCCATGGGCCAGAAGAGAGAGTGTCCCCACAGGATCCTCACTAATGGGAACTGTGAAAACACAAGGGGAGAGTTTTCAAATCAGCCCAAAGACAAGTCACCCAGTTTTTCACCAATCACATTGCTTGCTCTTTAAATACAAGCCTAGACATTTTTATTTTTAAAAGTTACTCTGGGGAGGAGCACAAACCCAGCGGTGCTCAGGGTCGGTACCAGAGGTGCTGGTGAGTGAAAGGGCTTACAGAGAGCATGGGCCTAAAACGAGGTCTGCCTCTATGACCTTAGCCACCATGCCAGCTGAGCCCAGGTGTTTTATTATGCCAATATAGGTACCCTTATTGGGCTTTTGGTTAATTGTTTTGTTTCTCTGCTCTAATAAAAAAAAATTATGACAAAGAAAAAGGAGTTTCTTTTTATATGATGAATGATAGGACATCTAAATTCCCACTTAATGACAATGAATTTACCATATACTTGGGCAAATTAAAATTCTTTTAATTAGTTTTTACAAAGTAAAAGGAGGTTCATCTTTTATTTAGATAAGAACCGCCACTGCCTGACTAAACACATTCTCATCAAACAGAAAAGGAAATGCAGGCTGACCTTCCAAGGCTTCCTCTGTGCTTCATTCTTTACTTGCAGATTTTTAAATAACTAATTTGCATAATCAGACTGAACTTTTTTTCCTAACAATTGTTAATTGAAATGTAATTAGAATGACTTGGAAATGTAAGCTCTTTTATAAAGGAGGCAGAGAGAAGCAAGTTACACCTTTTACCTTGTGTGTGGAAAACCAGTCTGAACCACATTTTGGTGAAAGCAGCTGCCACTTCAGGATGTGACTTAGCCTTGATCTTACTCCTGTGGCCAGGGGCCACTCTTCTATTCCATACCTACAGGGTACTACTGGTTACCGCTAGGCAGCTGAGCAAAGCCACGCCTACCAGGGAAGAATCCAGAAGCACTGTGGGGGTCACTAGAGAAAACAAAGCCCAAGGCAATAGTCTACTTAAAGGACATTGTTCAAAGGACAGTTCCTTGAGTGAAGGTTCTGGGTCAAATCCTGGTATGTGGCAAATGGATCCTGAAGAATCTAAATACATAAGAACTCTGGAATGATCTAAAAAGTGGCAGTCACAGGCTCATCTATTATATGTTTAGTTTAGTAACCAAAACCAATCAGCTTAAATCTTGAAAGACCCAAAACTATGTAACATAAAATATATTATTCTGTTTTCTTCCTCCCCTTCCTTTAATTTGTAAATTTTCTAAGTACAAGATTTTAGTGATATATGTTTAATAAAAATATGAAAAATCAGTAGGAAACAATAAAAAACTAAATAGTTCTTTACCTTTTTCTGGTTTTGGGGCCACACCCTTCAGAGTTTTGAGGCTACTCCTGGCTCAGTGCTCAGGAGTCACTCCTAGTGGCACTCATGAAACTACCAGGTGCTGGGGACCAATCCATAGCTACTGCCCTTTAATAACTCCCCAGATCAGTGAAGGTCTTTTATACTTTCTTAGTGGGGGATGAGGGGGTAGGGGTGGATTACCCATCTGTCAGTGCTCAGGGCTTACTCCTAGCTGAAGGATTCCTCAGAGCAGGGCTTAGGGGAACCATATGTGATGCTGGAGATTGAAACAGGGTGAGCCACATGCAAGGGCAACTGCCTCAGTCTCTGTACTACCTCTCTAGACCTACAGATTTTTTTACTTTTTTACTTATCCTTGTTTTGTTTGGGGCCACATGTGTGGGTGTGCAGGGCTCACGCCTGGCTCTGTGCACAGGTGTTACTTCTGGTCATGCTCGAGGGACCTTGAATTGGGGTCAGCTGCCTGCAAAGTAACATCTAATAGCCCCCCCTCCCCCCCACAAATTAATTCTTAAAAGTACAAAAGCTATGAAACCAAGGAATGACTGAGTAAACTAAATCCCTCTAATGAAATGCACTCCCTGATTTTGTTATCAAGCCAATCGGAGCAGAATATTTTCCCTTGTCTGTCAAATAACATAAGACTGCATCTTCCAGTTCACCAGTCACCATGAGAGTTAAACAGGGTGCCAGGGATGGCCAAGTCTGTAGATAATTTCTAGACAATCTCGGAACCACCATAAAGCTCCTGTTCTGGCTGGTGACCTGAGCAGCCCTCTAGCCCTTCTGACTTCCCACTCCCTGACCAGGGCCGGCCACTCCCCAGGCCGCACTTACTCTCTACGGCATGCAGGTACTCCATGTGGATGGCCCCAGCGCCCGCAGTGGCAGGCGAGGGGATGAGGTCTGCGTAGGGGCTGCGCTGGCCGGCCAGCAGGGCCATCTGATGGTAGTATTCAGCCGGGCTCACTCCAGCATGGGAGGCTGCAAGAGGACAGAGGGAAAAACTGACCAGTTGTCTGAAGGTCACCAAGAAGCCTGACTTGAAAACTACCAAAGTCCATTTGCCATGTCGGCACATCAGTGAGGCCCTTATGCTTCTTCCTACAAAAATGCTCTTAATTCCAATTTGCTTCTATGAGATTCCTTTCATTCAAAAAGCAAGCTAAAAGAAAAGAATAGCTTCAAGAAATACATTATAAAAATTTTGAGGGGAGAGAAATCACCAAGAATTCAAACAGATTAATATGTGTGTGTATGTGTGTGTCCATAGCTCATTTTCATATTTGCATCCCCAAATAAGAACAGTTCTTATATCAGATCTCTCCATGTCTTACAGAAGCAGACAACTGTGATATCTTTCTGGACATCCTTACAATACTTCCTCGCGCTCATGACAGCAAGGCCTGCTCTCACTGCTCCGAAGGCCGGAGCTTCTATGGGGGAATGGCAGCACAACTTAATAACACAACTGTGTGATAAGCTGTAATTTCACATTCCATAATTTAAAAGCTCTTTTCTCATTACTACACACACACACACACACACACACACACAAACACACCTATCAATCTAGATAATTAACAGGCAATTCTCAGCTTTCTAAGAGTAGTATAATAACTGGTTTTTACCTGCCAATTTACATGGAAAAAGTAGCATGATGCAGTAGCAATCTTAAAGGTGGTCTAATATTCACCAAATCCTGGATACTAATCCCTGCTCCCTCTCTTACTGAGACTTGAATTTGTTGGGAGCAATGAATCCAATGATGCATGTAAAGTGCTTAGCACATAATGTTCAATCAATGAAAGTTAGTTTTATAATTGTTAAATGCTGACATTCTCTCCATATGTCTGTGTGTGTTTTACATTTGTATCCATAAGCTCATATAGGAGACAGTGGGATGGGTGACTAGGTAGATACCAATACCTTAAACCAGGGAGAAACCTGAGTGAGCTGACCTAATGAGGCCAAGTATTAATTAAACCTGTAAGAAGCAGAGTAGAAGGCAGAACAACCAAGCATAATGTTTCAAACTCATATTCATCAAATCCTATGGAAAATAAACGATCAGATGCTTGAGCTGAGGTTCCACTTTCTGTGGCCCAACTAAGTTTCTGCAAGGCAGACACAAACCCAACCCACTGTCAGCCGACTCCTCTCTCTGCTCTCTTTGCAAGTCACTTCCGTGAACTCCCAAACACTCTACAGAGACAAATCTCCATTTTTCCTTTTATAAAATAAAACCCCAAATACTAGTCTTGTTGAAAAAATAAAATTCCTTTGGTACCTCACAATCATATTCGCTGCATTGTCTCAAAAGGCCAACATGGGTCTGTGCCTGTTAGCACAGCCCAGTGGATGTTTACGGGACACTGCGTGGTCCACTCCCCGCCCGGTCCCTCCTATGCACAGCCAAGTCCAAGCAGTGTGAGAAGTGAGCAAGTTTCCCTTACACCCTGGCACAAGTGCTACCAATTTGTGGTCTGCTGTTTCACTATTTGTAACAAGTACAGCTAATGTGATGTAAGGCATTAATTCAGAGTTCAGCAAATGTGGGCAAGTGAGTTTCTACATGTGTGTATGAAGTGGGTTATGGTCTTCCTGAATCAAAGAAACATTGTATAACTTGACAGTTGCAGAATACAGAGTCCCAGTTAAAATTAGGTTGTGAAATGAAGCTGGAACGAAGCTGGAAGTCCTAATGGGTCCAAACAGGAATTTGGCCCTTGAGAACTTAAAACAAGCATCAAGTATAACAAATTTTTTTTTTTTGCTTTTTGGGTCACACCCGGCAATGCACAGGGGTTACTCCTGGTTCTTCACTCAGGAATTACTCCTGGCGGTGCTCAGGGAACCATATGGGATGCTGGGGATTGAACCCAGGTCGGCCGCATGCAAAGCAAACGCCCTACCCGCTGTGCTATTGCTCCAGCCCATATAACAGAAATTAAAGTCAAACTTTGTTTCTTCTCTCACCACATTTGCCTCCTAGTACAACTGTCATAGTTAAGACCAGAGGGCACTCTTACCTGCCTGGGTCACCATACTCTGTTAAGTGGGAGTGTCTCACATGTCTGGTGCCCCGTACCCTCTAAGCCAGATCCCAGTCTGTGACCAACAGCATCAACATCTTTGAATGCTTCCCGGGACGCAGTTCTTCAGGTGCCATGAACAGGAGCACTGTATTATCACCCCAGATGACCTGTGCTGCTCCGTGGAGCATGAGAAGAGCTTCACTAATAGATACATCTGTTGAATGTATCCGTCAGATGCACAGAACAAAAAAGGGCTGATGAAAAGGTGAGGAAGTATGCTGGTCATGAATGCACACTGCATGGATGGCCATGGGGATCATCTGCATGTGCCCACGGAGACCCAGCACAGTGAGAACCCTTGGCATCAGGGAGATCTGGTTTGAACTTCAAGTTTCTTGGTTCCTCTGCACCTCGCTGTTCTCCCTGGGAAAATGGAGGTGACAGCACCGCCTCCAGAGAGACAGCCAAACGGAAGTTCTCACTCAGAGCACTCAACCTGGTGTGGAGCTCCTGGGAGACTTAGGTGCACAGTGAAGTACCTGGGAGAGAAGCTGGCCTGACACTTACCGTCAGTGGGGCTCAGGCCACGGGCTGCAGAGATCACGGAGAGGGATGGGCTGCCGTGCAGAGACCGGATGTAGTCCATGTAGGGATTGATGTAGGGGTGCGGCGGGCTGAAGGGGGACTCGGAGGCTGCAGCGGGGTTTCGGTGCGGAGAGATCCGAATGAAGGGAAGGTCTGTATATGTTGGGCTAGTGGATAAGGCAGAAGGCCTGGGTGAGAGAAAACATGGCACAGGAGGGACATGTGAGATTGGCAAGGATCTCTACAGGCAGAGGTGCACAGTGAGAAGAAATGAGGACCGAGGGGCCCAAGGGCTTCTGGTGAGAAAAAGGGCCATAGCACATATACAAACGAGGGGTCCTGATGGAAAAGAAGGCCATAGCACATACACATATGAGGGGTCCTGGTGGGAATGACAGCCATAGCATATACATACATGATGGGTCCTGTTGAGAAAGACGGTCATAGCACATACACACATGAGGTCCTGCTAGGAATGACGGCCTCAGCACATACACAAATGAGGGGTCCTGGTGGGAATAATGACCAGAGTAGAGACACATTCTTCTTGTGCTAAGAGTGCCAAGTCACATGACACCATGAAAAAAGATGCTCTTCTACCCTTATTCAGGTAAAGAAAATCTAAGACACTTCATAGCACTCTGAATACAGGCAAATGAAGGTAAGCTTTTGGCTTCCTCATAAAAAGAAATTCTGAATAGTCATCTCAGTTCACAGAAGCTTCTGTGATTATATTTTCCATCTGACTCAAAACACTCATGTCACATTGAAAACTTACCTCCAACCACCATAGCACTGAATTATGGAGGAAAAAAAAAAGAATGCAAATATGTCTGGCCACAGTCTGAGGGAAGTCTGCACATGTGAGGTCGGTTACTCACTGCCGTGTGCTGAGGGACCCCGGTGTGAGGAGCAGAAGCCCCACGGCTGTCTCAGAGTTCTCAGGCCCCTCTCTGCCCAGGCAGCCCAGAGCAGCCGCCCCATACTTCGTGTTTCAGTGGTGCCATCAATGGGAAAAAATGGAATCTGGCTCAAGCTGTGTGAGCCAACAATAGACAGACGCCACTGGTGGAGGAAAAAAAAACTACACAACACCCACAGCTGAGACTCTTACCCAGATACCCTGCTGGGGTGACCACTTCCAGAACAGCAGACCTGGTCACTCTCTGTTCGCTTCACACCTGCTCTAACAGAAAACATTCTTTGGGGCAGCATCGATGCAACAGGAGGTAAGGTGCTTGTCTTGGACGTGGCTGACCTGGGTTCGATTTCAGCACCCCATTTGGTCCTCAAGCACCTCCAGGAGTGATCACTGAGTCCAGAGTCAGGAGTAATCCCTGAACATCTCTGAATGTGACCTAAACCCCAAGAGAAGAAAAGAGAGAGAGAAGGAAGGAAGGAAGGAAGGAAGGAAGGAAGGAAGGAAGGAAGGAAGGGAAAAAAGGAAGCAAAAGAAAGAAAGAAAGAAAGAAAGAAAGAAAGAAAGAAAGAAAGAAAGAAGGCAAAAATGTTTTGTGTGGCTAATACTGACAGGCTAAATACATGTGCTTTCCATGTTTTCATTTAAGGAAGGAATGGCCACATAAGGAGTGTTTGGAACAGACAAAGATCTACAGAGAAAGGCAAATTCTTCGTATGCCACCGACTTTAGCAGTGAAATGAAAGGGATGGAAACCTATTTTCTCATCATGCCTCCCCAAGCTGAGGCAAGCATGGGTCCCATCACCCTGTCAGAATATAATCTCGGTAGCAGCCCAGCTACCAGGCACCCAGTGCAAGCACTGAAATAATGAAAGCCAAGATAAGATAATGAATTTTCTCTCAGTAGAAAAGAAGAAGCTAAAATATGGAGGCTTTTTTTTTTAATTTCACTTACTTTCTCTTCTTTCATTTTAAATGAAAACATGTGAGTTTTTTTTTTAATTTGTTATTTGAATGCCATGTCTGGTGAAGCAGAATAAAAAATTGGAGTTTTAAAATTTTATATATGGGAAGAGAGAAATGACCACCAGGAAATAGCTCTGTCTTTTCAAAACAGTTTGAAGCTTTTCATACCTGCCCAGAAATGAATAAATTTGTTTAAATAGAAATAAGTGTGACTATCCCATTTGAACTCTCTACTGCAACACCAGTCAGCTGAGACTGGTTTATTTCTCTCCTCCTGACTACCTTAACATGAGACTGTTTAGAGCAGAGAGGATGGTCAGTCTTACCTATTTCCTACCAGAAAGGAAATATCGGTCTCCAATAAGATCAAGGTGATTCTCACTAGAAAGTCGTCGCCTTATGATGCATGCCGAACTGCCTGGACTGCCAGCACTTTGCAGCAGACTCGCAGAGAGTTCAGTGATGCAATTAGACAATGCAGTGTGAGCCAGAACCTCGTCTGATCACCAGGAAAGATCAGTGGACATCGGGGATGTTTCTTCCTTCTCTTTTTACTGAAACCTGCTATGTTTCCAAATTCTGAGGCTGGCAAGAATAAGAATAATATCCCTAGGGTCCATTTGTTTGAAAGCCTGTGTTGGGGTGATGGTGCAGGTTCGGCATGAAGGACACAGAATGCTCACAGGCCGCATTCATGTGCTTTCCTCACAGAGCTTCAGGGCAGACACTGAAACCAGGAAAGTCCCCATGTCTGCTTGCTGGTGGCATTCACTCATGCATTCCCAGATGCCCTCACCATCACTGGCAGCAGTGCCTGGGTCTTCCTTACCTCTGCATGCCAGTGAAAAGCAGCACCTGGAGATGGGAATTGAGTCAGGAGAACCTTTGGTGACATTCCTTCCAGAGAGATGACAATGAGATTTGGAATCACCTATTTGCAATCAAGAAACCTGGAACTGGCATGTAGTCAAGAATGCAGCCAAGTAAGTTGAAAGGAAACTAACTGCCCTCGAGAATTGCAGGATCTGACAGGGTGGGGTTCCTCGGGGAGGGACACAGGTTATGTCAGACCACATGAGTAAGCCTCACCACCGAGCAGTGCTGAGATGGAAGCACTGCGTGATGACAGGAAAATCGCATCAGCATTGTGTGACACACAGACACTGACACAAGGCCTCTCCCTGCCCTTAATGGGCCACTTGAGGAAACACTGAATAAGGGTCCTGGCAAGTGAATATAAGTCAAGTTCTATATACAAAACTTAGTAACTCGTAAACGCCTTTCCTCTCTAACACCCAATATATGAATATATAATGTGTATATACTATGCACGATACATATGCCTCTTTATGATTCACAATGCTATTATAGTCCACTTCCAATATATATGCAGGTAAAATGCAGACATATATGTACATATATATACAAATGAATCCAGGTAAAGGCATGCATATGAGGAGAGCATAGATAGCACACTATGTGATTTTTGGAAACCAAAGTATTGAACAGTCTTTTCAAAGCAGATCTCATGATGCAAAAGGTCTGCTTTGCCTCCTTCCTGATGTGCCCCAGAGTCACCGCCCTGGATTTTCAGGATCCCATCTCAATAATAAGGAATCATAGGCAGTAGTTCAGAACTTAAACTCAGTATTCAAATGCAGAGCTTCAGAGGAACAAAATTTGAATTCAGTCTGTCATTGACCTTGTCACTTGGGCATAAATTTCCTTTCACAGCAAATGAAACAATAATATCTCCCTCCCAGATGTTTTTGGCCCATACTAGCCACTTGGTAAATGGTGGTGGTAGCTGATCCTCTTTGGCAGCAGTCAGAATACCATGTATGCATGTAACTCAGTGCACAAATGACAAGGTTTCTGATAACTAGCTTGCTGATGTCCTTGTCCCAAATTCTTCCTAGCTAGGTCATTCATTGGTTACTTTGTTGTTGACTATAAAGAAAATCTGAAAAGGCAGGTTAAGTCCTGAAATTTACTAGCCAAATGTGTGATAATTATGTGGAGAAAAGTCATTCAAAATCATGACCAAAGAGGTGAATTCTACTTAAGGAAAAGGTGGAGAGAGGCATGATAGGTAAACGCAACATCTCTCCTAGGAATGATAACATTTCCTAAGTTATCGGAAACTTAACCTTGTAAATATCTGCAAACCTTTCTAAAAATCTTCATTTTCAGATAAAAAGCAACATCAGAAAAAGGCGACAGGTTTCTGTTGGACTCCATGCCACCTCTGTCCTGAGTGGCAGTACAGGGTTCACATGAGAGGCATGCATAAAGAGAAAACATGAGCAGGCAAACGTACCGCCTGGGAAGAAAACACAAACATTAGAATTGCTTAAGAAATAGAGACTTTATGCTCTTATGTTGTAGTCAATAGTGTATAGAAATGAAGCTGGGCCGGAGATAGAGCACAGCTAGTGAGGCATTTGCCTTGCACTCAACAGAAATGGGTTCGATTCCCATCACCCTCATAGGGTTTTCCCAAGGCCCACCAGGAGTCATCTCTGAGTACAGAGCCAGGAGTAAGCCTTGAGCACAGGCAGATATAGCCCCAAAACAAAAGGAAGAAGGAAGGAAGGAAGGAAGGAAGGAAGGAAGGAAGGAAGGAAGGAAGGAAGGAAGGGTGAGCAAGCTCGAGAGCCAGCAGTAGCCCAGCAGTGCATGCCTAGATAATCCCTGAGCACCTCCAGGGGCGGCCCTGCAGTCTCACATATATCCTGGATGGTCCGGCACCCCAGCACCACAGGCTGGAGCAGTGCCTCACCCCTGCTCTTGCATGGACCCCCTGCGGACTGACTGAGGATCACTGTTGGGCTCCAGGACCTCCTGGGCACTTCCTGGGGGGGTCCTTTCACGAAAAAAAAGCCTACAATCCTCCAAACAAAATTGCAAAAATGCTGTTTGAGAAGCAGACAGACCCAGCCGAGGAGGGGGGTGTGGTGCACTGGCTGGCAGGGTCCCCTCTGCTGCTGAGGCCACCCAAAGCTAAGGAAAGGCTCTCGATTTTTTTCCATACTTCCCAATGGTCAAATAAAAGTTTTAGCTAAAAAAAAGATCTCAATATACTCTGATGTTCTTCCAAAAGTGTGTGTATTTGCAGGGACAATTCGACTTCAAATTGACTTTTTAAAAACAAAATCATAAAACACATTGCAACAGAAAGAGCAGGTATTCTCATTAGAGCACTCTAAACAGTAAATATAAAGTTAAACAAAAGCACATTGCAGAGAGTAACTGTTCTTCGTTAAATGAAATACCATGGTATAATCTAATATGTTACTGA